GCGTCAAACACACGATACAGGGATCATTGTCAAGCAGTACTGTATCGTTCCTCCCCGGCACTTTTCTAAACTTCGTTTCGATTAACACAAATAATTCGGCGCCTACCAATAAGTACAGAATGACTATGACCGAGATGCCAATGTGCGGGGCCAAACGTGTGAACACCTGAAGAAAGAGAAGTAAGCGATCGGTTATAGTAACTAAAGCAAACGACGACGACAGACATACCGTATAAACTGCTAACAAGTGGTTGCGCAGTGGTGTTGCCATTCTTAAGGATTCGCTATGCTTCCGTGTATCTTTTGAGGGTCTTTAGCTATTGCACGACTCAACGTTTCTCGCTGCTCATCCCCCCGTGCAATCTGTCCTTTTGGGCACGCGTGTAAAACGCTTCACTTATTTACGGATAAAACAGGAAAAACTAGAGCGCGCTCGTTTCAATGTCAACAGATCACTGTAGCGGACCCGATCTGGATGAAGAACAGCTGAACTCAATGCGGCCATGTTAAGGATGCGTCACTGCAACAAAATTCGTGCATGTCAAATCTGTGACTCATGCTCTGACATGCGAATGCAACAGGTCGACCACGCAATTTGATTGACGCCTTGACGAGACACCTACCGACTAGCTGGCCATACGTTGGTCTTGACAGAAAAAGTTTCGAAAATAGTTTATTTTTTAACTTTGTGTACTACAGTAGGCTTAGCTAGACTTGAACCTTGAATGACGGTGTGATCTGTAAATTGACGGACTTTAATCTCCTACCAAAGAAGTGCCAGTTTATATACATATAACTAGCAAGGGAGGGAGAGTGATTAAGCATTATTTGATGCAGCAAATGCGTTTTTTAATGAACTATCATGTATGTATGTGGTGCAGGAACTACAAATGGTGTAGGCGTTTACTCCAGTAGGTTGAAACAGTGGGGTTGCCCGTTATTCGCTAGCGGTAACTGTATGCATGAAAATTCACAATGTGCTCTACTTCTCTGAATTCGCTCGAGTAGATTGAGGTTGAGGATTGACAACCATAATGAAAGCCTGAACAACCATTCACCGGAAAAAAAATGCGTTTGTCGACTGTCCAAAGAGAAAAGGTTGGATGACGAACTAAGTAGCGTGTTACTACATTGTGTCTAAATCAAATTTAGACAGAGTAGATGATGAGTAGAAACTTCACGCATCATCCGCTTATTACGAAAATCCTATCGCAGAAAGCTGGCCAGTGCTTTGGTACTGAATCTAGTGTCTGATCAACAAATGGATATTCCAAAACTGTCAGTTGTCATTAACATTGTTTGCCCAATTTTAAGAAGCCATGCTGCCTCCCTTACACGACTCCTGTTAGAAAGTTTCACAAACCATTCATACACAAACCTGTAATACGCAAATGACAACTACTGATTACAACAACAGGTAGAGAATGTCAATAACTGGAGCAACCACCTTCGTCGAAAGTTCAACGACTAATGTGATTTTGGCGGCAAAGCAATATATTCCTAATTGAATTGTCATTGTCGATATGTGAAATGGTGACCTCGAAATGTCGCAAACATTTATGAGCGTTTGCGAAGGCACGAGCCTTCATGCCGAGACTACAACGAATGTAGCAAAGCCACTGCATCTGAAGATTCCTGAAACTGAGGCTTGCCAAACCACTGGCTGATTTGGTCAGTGGCAAGCCCCCAAACGGCTATATCTCGACTTTCAATGAAGCAGAACGCAAAATCGTTGAAGCGTGGGAGAATGGCCTTACAAAGGATTGTGTCAAGCTTAATGAACTGCTATGAAAACCACTAAATGTGTCGCTAAGCACATTGATGCTCATTTGTGGAAAGTTATGGTATTTTCATAGATGGCTGAAAAAATACAACAGCAGAATTGAACTTTATTCATGTTACGAGATTTGCACAAAATCGAAAGATGATGTGAAGTATAATACATAAGTTTACTGCTCATTCTCAAAACAGTAAATGGCAATTGATTTAGATGAAACACGTATTAAAAGTTATTTAATTATTCTAGACAATAATCAAGTTCGAGTGACAGACCGCTACCATTGTACACGGAACTCTGCGAAGCCTACTCTACGCTTCATCAATACTTCATATGTCATTTTCGTGGTAAAGTTAGTGGTCTCTGATATGTATTTATGTTGTTGTCTACAGCATCTAGTTCTTTGTAGTTGTAAAGCTAACAGTTCAATAAAAATGACTGTTTTGTGTTTTGCACAATTAAAACCCTTGTGAACTGTTTCATAATGATTATCACTGTGCGCGTAATTGCTTTGTGTTATG